GCTCCCGGAGAACTCGCTGCCTGGGCGCAAGGCGCGGGGGGCTAATTTTATTCTTTTACATTTACTTAAACTGGTTTTGTGGACTAGTATGTGATTTATTTTGGAAAATGTACCATATGCTGCTGAAAAGAATGTACAGTCGTTCTTCGCTATATCACAGTTCATTTATTGCGGCTTCACTGTATCACGTTTTTTAAAAAAAAAGTGTATATCGCAGTGCTTTCAGTATATTGCAGGATTTTGTGGTATATAGGTATTTATATAATATTTATGATTTTAATTGTTTTTGCCTAAAAATTTAAAACAATATAAAAATGTTAATTTAAACATATTAAAAGAGTATTAAATCAAAGCAAAATACAGTATGTATTTCATCAGCAGATGACTACCATACTGTACACAGTGGAAGTACAGTACACCACTACTACTTACACAAGTTTTCCAATGTGAGATTGTACACGGCACAGTATTGGCTGATGGAATGGAAGGTGACCGACCACTGTTCTGCATTTTGGGCACTGATTGGCTCAGTGACCATAGCATCAATCTGTTTGCTCTCCTGCACTGTGTCCACATGTTCAGCATCTCTCCTTGTCCACTTCACATCAATGCCTGATCACTGCATGTGCTCTGTGGTGTTGTGTTTTTGTGAAATTTTTGTATAAGTTTGAATTTATTTCAAGCCCTACGATGCCACCCAAATGTTCTGCTCCTTCTAAGGCTTCTGACAGTGAACCCCAGTGCCAGAGGAAGATGGTTACCATCAAAGAAAAGGTGGAACTAAAGGAAGGTGGAAGGCAGAAGCGATGTGGCTGTAGGTCTCCATTTTGTGATCAACGAATCTACTGTTCACTACATAAAGAAAGACGAGAAAAGTATTAGGTCTACGGCAGCAATGACTTTTAAAAAGACTGCAAAGAGGGTGGTCGCTTCCTGCAATAAGGCCATTGTGTGGATGCAGTCTACATTGGCCCTGTGGATAAATGACTGCAGGAAGAAGAATATCTCACTGGATCCCAACATCATGCAGAAGAAGGCCAAGAAACTTTGTGATAGTTTTGCAGAAAGCATGGACATTCACAACGGTGATGAGGATGAAGATGAGGATGATGACACAGAAGCAGGACCACTGAGTGCTTCTCCCACTAGACCAACTCCATTCAGTGCCAGCAAGGGCTGATTTGACAAGTTTCAGAGATGCTTTGGACTCAAGAGTGTTTCTCTGCATGGAGACACTGCTGACATGTTCAAATCTGTCATCGAAGAAGGGGACTATAACCCTGCACAAGTTTTTAACATGGATGAGATGGGCTTATTTTGGAAATGGATACCATCTCACACTTTTATTTATGAAGGACAAAGCCAAAGCCCCTGGTTTTAAGGCCCGAAAAGATCGAGTAACTCTGATTATGTGTGGGAATGCTGTGGGCTTTATGATAAAGCTAGGACTTATTTATAAGTTAAAAAAACCGAAGGGCCCTAAAAAGACAAAAATAAGAATGTGTTGCCTGTGTACTGGATGTACAACCCCAAGGCCTGGATCATGAAACTCCTCACAGCTGATTGGTTCCACCAGTGCTTTATCCTGGAGGTTAAGCTTTATCTGGCAGAAGAAAACCTTGAATTCAAAGTGCTTCTGATCATCGACAGTGCTGGAGGCCATGCTGCTGATCTGTCTTATAATGGCATCCAGATAGAGTTCTTGCTGTTGAACATCACATTGCTCATTCAGCCCAATGATCAAGATGTTAATTGAGCTTTTAAGGCACTCTGCATGTGAAATGCCCTGCAAAACCTGGTTGAAGCTATATACTCAGATGAAAACTTCTTGCTAAAGGTGTACTGGTGTGACTACAATATTCCATTGTGTCTCCTAAGCATTCAGAAGGCCATAAAGTAGACGAAGAGTGAAACAGTAAATGCCAGCTGGAAAAATTTGTGGCCAGAAGTGGTTCATGATTACAAGGGATTCTCTCCTGATGAAGTCTCTCACTCTGCAGTAGCTAAGGCCAAGAAGCTGGCAAAACTACTGGGAGGAGATGGCTTCAACAATAGGACTCGTGATGACGTGAATGACCTGATCGATGTCCACTCACAACCATTGAGAGATAAAGACCTGACAGAGATGACGAAGTCAGCAAGTGAAGAAGATGAGGAACAAGATTAACTACAGGTTGGACAAGAGGAGAAGCTTGACCTAACACTTGACTGTCTTGCTACCATGGTCAGAATGACCAAAGAATTTCAGCAAGTGGCTGAAGAATGGGACCTCCAGATGCTTCGTTCATTGCACTTCATAAATACAATCCAGAGAGGCATGTCAGTTTATAAAAACTTTCTCACTCAGAAGAAAAAGGAGCATGAGAAACTCCCCATAACTATGTTCATCACTTGGAAGAAGAGATCAGTTATGGCCCAGGGCGAAGATACTGCACCACCAAATGAACTGCCTGATGAAGTGGTGACTTCAGAAGAGCTGTAATGCCCTTCTTTGCTGTGCAGAACATTCATCTCATCGTCATCACCTTCATCGCCATCAGTACTGCACGGCTACATAATCCATGATCTTCATCATTCAAGTTGTAGCGTACTGTACTTCACTGGGAAGTACCCATATAGGATTTTACATGTTGTTAAAATTACGGAGGTTTAAGAGTGTAGAAAGTGTTTAAGAGCATATGAAGTGTTTATAAGAGTGTGGGAAAGGTGAAGAAGACTGGGAAAGGTTTTTAGGAGTGTGGGAAGGGTTTATAAAGCCTGAAAATATGTATAAGTAATTAAATATAATTCTGCTACTTCACGGATTTTCATCTATCACGGGGGTCTCTGGAACGTAACTCCTGTGATGGGTGAGGGAATCACTGTATACTCTGTTGTGGAGGAGTGGAATATTCTGTATATATCTATTAAGTCCAAATATTTGAGTGTGTGGTTCAACTCTTATATTGGTTTATTGGTTTTTTGTTTAGTTGATGCCTGCAAAAGGGAGGTTTTAAAATCCCCTACTATGATTGTGTTCTTAATATGATCTTTTAATTTTAGTAGTTCTTGTTTTATGAAGATAAGTGCTCTGGTATTCAACCCAAAAATGTTATCTCTCATTAGAGTGTTCCCTTAATTAGTGTGTAGTGACCTTCTTTGTCTCTTCTACTCTTTTAACTTGAAATTTTTATGTCTGATATTAAAATTGCTACTTTGCTTGTTTTTTGGGGTCCTGGTGCATGAAATGTTGTTTTTCATCCTTTAATTTTAAAACTGATTTTTTTTTTTTGATTAGATGAGTTCCTTGAATATAAAGACTGTTGAATTCTGTTTTTTGATCCAGTCTGCCTAGCTGTCTTTTAATTGGAGAGTTGAGGCTACTAATGTTGAGAGATATCACTGAGATGTGTTGGTTATTTAGTATCATGACCTTTTTTATCTATTGTGATTCCTTTGTTTTTCTTTTCCAGTTTTTGTTAGTTTATCTGTTGAACTCACTCATTTCCTCTATTTTTAGCTGTGTCCATTTCGTGATTTCTGTTGAGAATATTTTTAAGTATTTTCTCAAGAACTGGTTTAGTATTCATATACCTTTTGGGGGGGACTTTTTAATGGAAATACTTTATTTATTCATCTATTTTGAAGGCTACTTGTGCTACATAAGTTAATCTGGGTTGGATGTTATTTGCTGTTAGGGTTTATAATATTTCACCAATGTTTATAGCAGCACAGTTTGTAATAGCTAAATCCTGGAAACAACCCAGATGCCCATCAACCAAGAAATGGATAAAAAGGATGTGGTATTTTTATACAGTGGAATACTACTCAGCCATAAAGAATGATAAACTTGAGACTTCTGTAGGTAAATGGAAAATTTCACCAATAGCAAATGCTGGAGGGCCTGTGGAGAAAAAGGCACCCTTCTCCACTGTTGGTGGCATATATTTTTATCATATACATTTCCCCCATTTTTCTCCTTTCTACCACCATAGAATTTTTTGGCAGTGTGAAAGTTGACCATTTGCTGTCATTGAGCTCTTAATCTAATTTTTTTGTTCGTAGATATTCTCCAATAAAAATTACAATGTTACTTATTACATTTTAATTATCATTCATGATATTTATTTATTATTTGATTAATTCTTTGCTCATGAAACCAGGTTCAGGTTTCAAAGTGCTGTCTAAATACAAGCAGAGGAGGAAAGGGCAAATTTCCTAAATAATTTGTGATAAGAGAAATTTGCTATGATTTGTCAAAGGAGTTAGTCATCTATTCCAGTTTTTATTTGTATGTTTGTCTTGTAGATTTCCTCTGTAAACCATGCTTTAGAGATAGTGTACAAACAAAACTGGGTTAATCAGCAGGAGAGCCACTGTTCCCATTAATGTTGCTTTAGCAGTGAATTCCATTGTAGCATCAGAATCCCTGGGTGAGGTGAGTATATGGATGGAGAAAAAGAATATGATAGCAAGACATGATGTGAATATGTGGAGGACTCAATCTCATTGCAGCTTTTTATGAGTGGAGTTGAAATGTGTCATACTGTGAGTCTCAATGTAAATGTATGTGTGATTTAGGAGGCACTGACCTTTGAGGATGTTGCCGTGACCTTCACCATGGAGGAATGGGCTATGCTGGATTCATCCCAAAGGAAGTTCTACAGAGATGTGATGTGGGAAACCTTTAGTAATTTGTCTGCTATAGGTGAGAGTGATACCATTATCTAATTGATAAAATCAGAAAGCATTGCTTCTTGGTCATCAGTGCAGTTTTACTAATTGGAATGTAAAAATATTTTGATGACTATTCTAGGTATGATCACTTGATATCATGCATCTACCTGGAATCTATGAATTTTTATGTAATGTTGGAATAACTTCCTATATTTATTTTTCTGTACTTTAGGAAGAAATTGGGATGACCAGCAAATTGAAGATGAGTGGCAACAATATTGGAGGAAAAATATAAGGTAGTTCACACTAAAGTTCCTTAAAAGTTAGGGAAGAGCAAAAAATTTTAAACCAAGGAAACTATATTGTTAGTTTTTCAGATAAGAGGAACTATCAATTTTAAAGCTTGTATTTGTCATTTATTTCACTTAACATTGTGGCCTCAAGGTGCAATCATTTTTCCTACAAATGACTCAAGTTTATCCTTCTTTACGGCAAAGTAGTACTTCATTGTGCATTAGTAAATGAAAGAGCAAAAGAAAAGATACATAATAGAAAACAAGGAGAGAGATATTTTGTAAAAATAAAGGGAAGTAAGAGATGAATGAGTGGGAGAGGAAAATTGGGTGGAAAGAGAATGAAAAAAGTATTCAGTATTGTTCTGTACATGTACCTACAATCTATGATGAATGTAGTCATTGTGTTAAAAAGAAGTATTAATAGAAATTTAAAAAAGTTTAAAACCACCTAAACTGCAAGTGAAACCAAGTTTAAATTTATTTAATCTAATAAACTTTCCTAGCATGCCTACATGTTGAGAATCTATATTGTGACAATTGAATATCTGAAATAGTCTAATACTGAGAATTTATGGAGTGCTGATATGCTGCAAGTGACATTATTTAATGTGCCAGAAGAAGCAAAATATTTTCCACACTCAAAATTATGAAAACACTTCATGAAATTGCATTTTGGTATTGGCTGTAAGTATATATGAAACAAGATTTTTGTTTAGACTAGGGACCTACTTCAGAATATCTAATTATGGTTATATATTAATATTTTCTAAAGACTACTTTTATACCAAACAATTTATCTAAGGAATGCTATGTTTATTTAAATGTGTTATATACATTTGGTATTTGGCAAATTGCTACCCTGGTAGAAGTGTTCAGATCCAAGTAAATGCCACTGTTTTAATAATAGCTATTTGTAAGCAATTCTCCATAACATTCAATCCATTCATTTTCCAGAACTGTTATAAAGCACCTTTCTATGTTTTTGGTGGCAGTGTTACATAGTAAAGCATCTATGGAAATGTGTGTAAAAAATTCTCAAAAAAATAAAAATAGAAATTCCATTTGATTGAGCTCTGTTTTTACTGGATATATTCCTAAAAATTTAGTAATGTAATGACATATGCATGCACATGTTATGGGAGCACAATTTTTAATAGGTGATTTCTGAAAACAGCGTATCCACAGGTGAACGGGTAAAGAATATATGGGATGGATCAGCAAGATGGTGCATGCTTGTAAACCCAGCACCCTGAGAAGCTGAGCCAGAAAGATCGCACATTCAAATGCAGCGTGGGCAACTTAAAAAGGCTGTGGATGTAGCTCAGTGCTAGTGCACTGGAAAATATGTGGTATATATACATAATGAAATTTTATTCAGCTAGAAAGAATAGTATGATATAATTTGCCAAAAAATTTGATGGATCTTGAGCCCATAACTTTTAAGTGCAATAAGACAGTCATAATTTTATGTGAAATAATCAAACACTGAAAGCTTAATATCTGGTGATATATATGAGAAACATAATATATGAATTAACGAATAAAAGGAGAGATGGTAGAAAATAGGCTTTTGGGTGATGGTGAAGAGGTTCATTGGAAAGGGGAGGGTGCAGGGTCATGGAGGAAAGGGTATTAAAAATAATATGATATGCAGGTGTACCTGTTCCCTAAAATGAAAGTAAATGCTATGTATTGCAAAAGTGTCATTTTAAAAACTCTCAAATTAAGACTACTATTTCAGAAAGAGCTGTTTTAAAGCCATACTCCAGAGTGTACAGGCAATTCATAGTCAAATAATTATAGGGAACATTCATCCAGGTCTCCTAGTAAATCATTAATAAGGAAACACTTTATAATGAGGTTAATTTTTCATTATGTTCTGTTTTGTTTTACAGATATGAAGGTCAATTTTTCATTATGTTTTGTTTTGTTTTACAGATATGAAGAGGCAGTGGAATGCTATCAAAATAAATCTTGGCATGACGATGGAGAAATGTTTTTTTGGACTACAGATTCTGATGTGAACATGAAACTTCCTGATTTAAAGCTAGCTGAACATCTTGTTTGTAGAAAGCCCCTGATTGGTCATTCACTGCTAGAAGTACCCATTATAGCTCACACTGCACTCAAATCATATGACTGTCAGGGATTTGAAGAGAAACTATCTCATTGTAATGTGCACGATTCCCAGTTCTTTCAGAGGCACACAAATACAAACACTGGGGAGAGACCCCATGAATATAAGCAGTATGGGAAATCTTACTCCAATTGCAGTGTAGAAACTCACACTGGAGAAAAGCCCCTTGAATGTAAACAGGACTCAGACATCTTTGGTATGCCCAATTATGTTGAAATCCATGAAAGAAATCACAGTGGAGTGCATCCCTTTGTATATACACAATGTGGCAAAGCTTTTAATTCCCATGACTATATTCAAATACAGGAAAGACCTCATAATGGAGAAAAACATTATGTATGTAAACAATGTCAGAAATCCTTTACTAGTAACACTTCATTTTGTACACATGAAAGAACTCACTCCAAGGAGAAACCGTATGTATGTAAACATTGTGGGAAAGCTTTTGGCAAACCGAGTAATTGTCGGATACATGAAAAAACTCATATTGGTGAGAAACCCTATGTATGCAGGCAGTGTGGGAAAGCTTTCAGTACACATAAGTATTGTCAAATACATGAGAGAAATCACACTGGAGAGAAACCCTATGTATGTAACCACTGTGGGAAAGCTTTCAATTTCAAGAGTAATTGTAAAATACATGAAAAAATTCACACTGGGGAGAAACCTTATTTATGTAAGCAATGTGGGAAAGCTTTCACCAGACACAGTGATTGTCAGATTCATGAAAAAACTCACACTGGGGAGAAACCCTATGTATGTAAGGAATGTGGGAAAGCATTTAGGACATATAAGTACTGCAAAATACATGAAAGAAATCACACTGGAGAGAAGCCCTATATATGTGAACAGTGTGGGAAAGCATTCACTTGTAAGAGTTCAATTTGTACACATAAGAGAACTCACACTGGGGAGAAACCCTATGTATGTAAGCAATGTGGGAAAGCATTTAGTACACACAAGTATTGCCAAATACATGAAAGAAATCACAGTGGAGAGAAACCCTATGTATGTGAAGAGTGTGGGAAAGCATTCAATTGTAAGAGTTCATTTTGTAAACATAAAAGAACTCATACTGGGGAGAAACCCTATGTATGTAAGCAATGTGGGAAAGCTTTCAGGACACAAAGTGATTGCCACATACATGAAAAAATCCACACTGGACAGAAGCCCTATGTATGCAGGCATTGTGGTAAAGCATTCAGTAGACACAGTAATTGTCAAATACATGAAAGAATTCACACTGGAGAAAAACCCTATGTATGTAAGCAATGTGGGAAAGCTTTCACTGATAACAGTTCATTTTGTAAACATAAGAAGATACACTGCAATGAAGCACTATGTATGTGAGCAGGGTGGGAAATCATTCAGTAACACAATTGTCAAATACATGAAAGAAATGATACTGTAGAGAAAGTCTGTATTTAGACAGTGTAGGAAAGCCTTACTACATACATGTACTATCAGATACTAAGTTAAATCACATTGCTCTGAAACTATGAAAGCATTGGGGAAAGTTTTCAGTACATGCCATGTCAAATACATGAAAGAATTCATACAGCAAAGAAGCCCTATATATGCCTTTAGGGCACATAGTTATTGTCAGATACATAAAAGAAAAAACCCTCACACTGTTGAGAAACCCTATGTATGTAAGCAATATAGGAAAGCTTTCTGCACACATAGTCATTGTGAAATACATGAAAGAACTCACACTGAATAGAAAACCTATGTAAATGATGGAAAAGCACTAAGTACACACAGTTATTGTCACATGTATGAAAAGATTTACATTGGTTAGAAACCTGTGTAAGAAATGTGTGAAAGAATTTAGTACACATGCTGTCAAAATGTGTGTGTACACATGGTGCAAAAGACTACTCCAGTAATCATCACAGACATTAAAAAATGTTGCAGAAGAAATTAACCATGAGAATGTAATGGCACACTGACATGAAAGGATTCAGAGTGGAAAGAAGCACTTTCTTTGTAAACAAGGGGAAGTCTTTCAGTACTCACAGGTATCATTAAATAAAAGAATTCATAAAGAAGAAAGTGTGAACAATGTGGTAAAGATTTTATTTTTCCAAATGTATTAAAATACACAAAAGTGTTCACCTTGGGAAGAATCCATATGTATATGGTAAATGTGGGAAATCCTTCACTTCTTCAGCTTACCTTGAAACACATGGAGAATCTCACACTGGATAAAAACCCTATGTAGATAATGTGAGAACACCTTTTGCAATTTCCATAATTTTAAAATCTAAACACCCTAAAAGTAAGTACAAATATCAATTGTGGAGATTCTTCACTTTTACATGACTTTTCATGGAAACATGACATTGCATAGTATAGATGACTCTCATAAATGGGCATTGTATGAGAATACTTCTAGTCATTTAGGTTTTATTCTTATAGAATACAATATAATGAGAAACCATGAATGGAAAGGATGTACATAAGTCTTTTAGCTGGCTTATGTGTAAAAATGCATATTGGATCAAAATCCTTATGCATACAGTTCTCAGTTATAACTCATCTTCAAAATCCTTTGAACATGTCTCACATAGTGGGAATCTAAAAAGCGTATTACATGAAAAACGTCATGTCAATTACTTTCGTGGGGGCTGGCGGTATAGCTCAGCAGCATAAGCTCCTGCCTGGCAAGTGCAAGGTCCTGAGTTCGAGTCTCAGTACCAAAAAAGAAAACAATTACTTTTGTGTAGAGTGTTCCCTAAAATACACAATGAAGTGATACATCATATACTATGGACATAGTGTGTTCATCAGTAATTCTTAATGTAGATCTTGATTATGTAAGTTCACTTAAGAACAAATGTGCTGACATAATTCTATGTGTAAGTAGTATGGAGGGAATTTACTGTCTTGTAAACAAATTAGGTGATACATTATTTTGGGTCATGTTTAGTTTACAGGTGAATTGCCGTGTATTTTAAAATTCCAATAGGCTAAATATTTATGTAATTTGTACTGTTTTAATAATTGTGGAATTGGCTGGGGATATAGCTCAGTGGTCCAAGTACCTGCCTGGCAAGCACAAGGTCATGAGTTAGATTTCTGGTACCAAAAAAGATGCTTCAGTTTTCCTTCTTTGTTATAAGAAAGTTTATAGGAATGTTATATTTTTTAATTATAGTGTATATGTTTTAAATATTTCTGAACTTGTGTTTTAGACAGTTCAACTGTTTTTAAACAACTTACAGATTAGCAGGTATTGTTTTCCACATTCTGAGAATATATCTGCATGTATCTAAACATAACTATAGATTGTGTGCAGTATATAATTTCCCTGGTTTTTCATTTGATAGCAAGAAATATTGTCATGTCTATATAATTTTAGGGTTTTTGTACAAAATAAATATTTATTTTTCATGCTCATATTTCCATGATTAAGTTTGATGGTATTAAGATATTCAGTAGATATTCCTAAGTTTTCTGACTTTTGTAATGTTATCAAAATCCGCTGTGAAGTAACATTATTATTTCAGAGATAGTCACTTCCATAGGTTCAGAATTACTTCCCATCCTATATACAGTTTATGTCATTCATTTTATGGAACAATATCTGTGAACGCAGTGGATTGTTGATGGTATCAGTTTTAACATAATTTCTTAATACTGGTAGGTATAAAAAAGTTCTCGATTTCTTCTCATTCAGAAATCTCTACAGTCACGAAGTGATGAGAGATCCTAACTTATCTTCTGCTTCTCCATATAGGATATCAGTTAACAATTCCTGCAAAATGGATATGCTGGAGATATTTTCACCCCAATTCTGTGTTTTCCTCATTGCTGCATGATTTTGATTGTTTTTCTTCATTAATTCTGGCTGCTTTATTATACCATGGTATATCTACAGCAGTTGGTTCATTTAAATTTTTCAGTTTTGTACTTGCATAATTTCTGTATGGATTTTCAATAATTTCTAAGTCTTTACTGATGTCAATGTCATTTTATAGAAATACCATTTTCTAATTTCCTTTCATTAACTTTCTGTTTGCCTGTACCCTTTTTGGAATAATTAAGACAGTTGTCTGATAATTTTTATGTGAACAATTCTCTGAACTTTCTCAGAAACTGTTTCACTTGATTCTCTTTTATTGTTGAGCCATATTTACCTCTTCCTTCATATTTGATTTTAGTTGTTTCTCATGTGTGTGTTATCAATTAGTCTAATGAGAAAAATCATATTCTTCCCCCTTTCCCAGTTTTGAGGCAGTAAGATTAAAACAGGTGAATTTTGGTACTGTACATTCTGCTAAGTCATTGGATGTAGAAATAGTCCAGTGGTTGTTTGTTATTTGCATGTGAACTTACCCTTTTCCCTTCCAGCTGAATAGAAAGTAGATGTATGTGAATTTATTTTTTTGAATTTTACTAAATATTTAGCCCCTAATGCTTCCACTATTTGTGTTCCCTTTGAAGATGCTATGATCAACAGCCTGGGCTTGTAACCTTGTTTTTTTTAAAATTTTTATTTATTTATTTTTTATTTTAAAAATAAAAGGAGGAAAATATTAACAGACAGTCGACATTTTACAAAATAGCAAAGGAACAGTACAGACAGTACAGAGTTACAAACAGAGTGATAGGGAATTAACAGTGCTTGTTGTATTACATATTGATATCTTCAAAGTGGTTTCTCATGAAAACAGATATAGACATACAAAGCTGATCAGCCAAGGACTCATTGACAGTTTCTTTCAGCAAAGAAATACAAGACAGTAGAACAGCCATGTTAACTATCCTGCATATACATACATACAAACTTCCCCTTCTTTGCCTTCTCTTTTCCCATATCCCAGTTATCCTTTACCTTTGAGTGCTTTCCTACCAATTTACAATGTCTATCATATCTCCTAGTTTAAATTCACTCTTTCAGGCTTTACACTAGAGAAACAATGTGTTTGCACATGTATGTTTGATTTATTTCACTTATGAGTATGGTCTCTAGTTGTGACCATTTACCTATAAATTGGGCTTGTAACTTTGAATCTGGCAGATTCTTAATCATCCATACCCCTGTTTGTGGGAGTGAATTTTCACTGAGTTCTCTCTGAACTTAAACCTCTCAGGCCAGGATCCTTCATTCTCAAGAAACTTGCTACTTGCATGTGAGGCCTATTTTATTCTAGGCCTATTTTATTCTGTTAGAGCCCTCAATGGTGGGAATCGTGTTTCCTTACATGTCCTCTTGGTTTTTCATGCCATATACTCATGAGTATCATGATAACCATTCCTCTGTAGGCAAGCATAGCAGTTTCCATCCTAATCTGGATGTGTAGACATTGATGATCTCTGATGTCAGTCTTTACTTGAACTTTCTAAGCTGCACTCCTGACAGCCAGAATGAAGTCTGATTGCTGATAGCTGGGTGCCTGAAGCACTTGTTCACCACTGTGCCACTTGGTGTATTGCTGTCCAGCCTGAAGAATTATTTCTGAACTTTTAATGTTGGGGGTAGGAAACCATATAAATTCACACCCAACCTCATCCCCCATTCTTGCATAAGTGTAATTATTTTTATTTATTGTGGCCCTCCACACTTCCATTTTTTGGCTTTTGCTTCAACCAAGGTCATGAGTCTTATTTTATCTTTGGCAGTTTTACTTGAGTTAGATATATTTCATTTTTGGACTGTGTTCATTGGTTTTTACTCTGTATGCAAATACTTAATACTGCATACATTTCACATTTTAAAAATTTTTGTCCTACCTGTCATAATTTTCCAAAAGTTCTTCCTCTGATTATTACAGATTTTTTCCTGAGGAAATTCATGCTTCGTATCCAAAAGATGTTTTACATTGAATTCTCAAAGTATTTAAATTTATCTTTCCTGTTTCAAGCTGTTACTTCATTGTACATAATAGAGGAGGGATACAATACAGGTTCTCAAGTGCATGTTTCTTCCCACTTCATGTATTAAATACATTGTGATTTCTGCCACTGTGGTACAATATCAGCTCTGTCTTGTATTAATATCTTGTTTGCTTGAGGGCCCACTGAGTATTGTCTTTTCTTCCTGTAAACTATTTGTTACTCTCTACTGTTATCAATCTCTGAATAGTGGATTTGAATTTCTTTCATTTATATTAAATAAGCTATCACCTACTTGTCTACTTGTTATTGAACATTGTTAGGCATTTGTTATACTGAAGTAGTATGGTTTTTGACAAAAGGTGAGATTTTTGAAAATGCTTTTCTTAAAATTTTTGTTAGTACCTATAAACATTGCAAAATTGGCTTTTCAACATACGTTTAATCATAACTATCTCCCCAATGCCCTCACTTATTCTACCCTAGATTTTTATATCTGTATGAGAGGTGATCTATTAGTGCCATTAAACTATAGGAAAATACACTACTTTCCACTAATATTGTCCTTAGTCTTCCAATAAAAACTGTAATTTTAAAATTAATATTTGTAATTATCATTCATGAATTTCATTTAGTGTTCAACTGATATTTTGTCTGTGAAACCATGTCCAACTTTCAAAATACTGTCTAGATACAAGAAAAAGGAAAGGACCTATCAAAACAATTCATTACAGATTTATCTACCCCAGAGTTTTGTGTCATGTAGTGTCCATCTAAAAACCATTCTTCAGTGGCACTGTCTAAATAAAATTGGAGTGACCCAGCAGGACAATCATATTTATTTTTTTGTTCTTGGTCTTCTGAGACAGGGTCTCACTATGTAGTTCAAACTGAACTTCAACTCACTGTGTAACCTAAGCTGACCTTGAACACCTGCAGTCTTCTTGCTTGAGACTGCCAAGGGCAGCAGTTACAAGCATGCCATCATAACACCCTGCTGTGTTCTGCTAATGCTTTAGCAATGGATTTTAGTTTAGCATCAGAGTTGCTGTGAGGACATAAATGTGGATTGAGAAAAAGGGTGTGACCAAATGTGAAATAAATCTTTCAGAGCCACAGCCTCATTGCATAATTTATGAATGGAGTCAAGACATGAGTGACAACCTTTTTCCTGGAAATAATATGTGTGATGATGTAGGAGGTAGTGACT